TTTTTGAAGTGGTTAGCCCATTGTTTCCTTTGTCTCTCCCCTTTGGTAACTAGGTTTTCTTCACTGTCTTCCGTTGGTTTCATCTGTGCTGATCTCTTCCCTGCTAGATAACAACCTGGTTATTTGATAAAGTTTTGTCAGATCTCTGTCTCTCCTGCCTGTTACCTGTTCTGCTTCACTTGCCAATGTGTCGTAGAAGTGTCTTCTGTCTTTCCACACACTCTTCTTCACTTTCTTTGTCCAGTGTAGTGTTTTATATGTTTTTCAACTCCTCTTTTCATTTTTCCTACCCGCACTGAACCGTACTGCACTGATTCATCTTCTGCTTCACTATCTTCTTCTCACTCCCCCGTCACCTTCCATGTATCTGTGGAGATCCATTTGCCCTCCTGTCCTGCTTCTTCTTCCTTCCTAACACGGTTATGAAGGTTACTCCCCACATCTGTTTCAAAGAGTTCCAGTGTTCTTCCACTCAGGTTTCCTCAGCGATGTTGCTTAATGTCTCCCACGTTCCCCGATAGTTGACGTGAAATGTCCTTTGTAGTTTCGTTCTTCAGTTTCTGTTTTGTGTGTTGAAATGGAATTATGGTCTATTACCAGCTTCCTTGAATTCAAGGATTTCAACTTCATTTGGAAGGTTCTTTGCACTAGATACTGAATGGTGTGAACCTACATCTGCTCGCCTTCTTCATCTGATCTTGTGTCAAGTAGGCTGCGTCTACACTTTCTCCAGATTGAAATGGAGTCGATCTGATTTTTAGTGCTTCTTCGTGTCTGGTGAAATCCATGTCGCTTTGTGAATATCCTTGTGTTTGTAAACACCGATTCCAATCGCCAAATCACTGGAGCCTCAGGAATCTCCAAACACTTCTCCATTCTCATTCTTCGTTTCAACGAGCACTTCTCAACCCATGATTCCTTCTCTTCATGTCTTCTCCGCTCCCAGTTTGCCTGGCATTCATATCACACCAACCATTAGAATGCATTTTCATGTCGCCATCTCCACTCGCGTCTTGTCCATTACACATTGCACTTGTCTATACAATTCCTCCTTCTTCTCTTCATCTCATCAATTATTTGTAGGTGCACAGTGTAGCATATCACAGCATAGAATAGCATAGCATAGTGTAGCGTAGCGTAGCATTGTCACTTGCTTGTCACTTTCCTTCCTTTTCACTCCAATCCATCTTGCTGTCATGATCGCCACCCTGTAGGAGGAGATTGCTTCCCACTGCATCACACAGAGCCTTCCATGTTGTTCGGTACATCATGATAGTCACTCGAAAACTCAGTGTGCTCATGATTGTCGACTGGTTGGCAATGTCGGAGTAGAATATTGACTGTGGAGTTGACAGTTTGGAGAGTTCACTTGCATTCGATGACGTGTCGCAGATTCCTATCCTACCACTTCTTCCATGCTATATCTTCTCATTTCTTTTTCACTTTGAGCAGCCTTGTCAGTCAGCCAGCCAGTCAGTCAGCCAGCCAGCTTCAAACATTGTGCTGACATTCCATATCCTTATGCTTAGCTTACTTTTGCTTCGATTCATGGAGAGAAGACACATCGACCAATTGGCTTTCCGAAGACTTTCTCCAACTCGTGTCATCTCGTCTCCTCGATTCCAGTGACGAATAGATTTATTTTTATTTGTAGTATTATTTTGTGCTTTGATGTTTGTTTAGCGACTGGAATGGTTTTGTGTGGTAAGGTTACTATCCATATGCCCAACCTTTCCTGTTTATCTAGACTTAGGACCGGCTAGTAACTGATGAACTAGTAAACTAGGCCAACTGTATTTGTATCTCAGTTTGATTCGGTATTCTAGTCTTAAGGTAGTATTCATTAGGGATGGACATCATTTTGAGAACCATTGAAAACGTAGATGCACTGGTCGGATCATGAGTGGGTACTGCTGAGGAGTCTCAAACTAGTATGAAATAGCTATCCAATTCTCCCATGTTTCCAATGGTTCTGCAAATGATGTCATTCCGTGATGAGTATTACCTTGTACTACATATGCTTATTTTGATCACGAGTAAAATAAGTGTTGTTTGATAGATTTTTGGCTGTTGTTCCTGTCTTAATAAAAATCATGAAGTATGAGATTTGGTACTTTCTTCTGTCTATATTTTGAAAGGCATTTAGATTTATTTTGTGACTTCTTTTATTGTAAGCGATGAATTTTTGGCCTGTAACGTAATACGCTGATTTCCTTTCTGTTTAAATTAAACTTAACAAAATAGTCTCATTTGTTAACCATACTATTTCATACTAGTACTTTTTAATTTATTGTTTATCATCTCTATTACTAAAATCATCACATGTATTTTACTTAGGTCACACTAGAAAACAGTGTTTTAAATCATACTTTGAATTAAATTATTAAGAATATAAAAATCGCATTTTAAATATATGGTAGATTAATGGTGGATAGATAGTTAGCAGTGTGATCCACTGCACACATTTCGTCCTATTTGGGACTTGTCAGCTAGATGTACCAGCCTTCCAGTGAGTGATCTTGTTCCCACTACCACTGCAGTCCAGGCCCAATGGCTTGATACATCAGACCTGTAAATTAGTTGATTCAAATATTCTATTTAAACTATTCTGACCAATTAAATAACTCAACTATGAATGTTGTTTTCCTGCATAAAAAATTTTCGAAGTCATATGTTTGATTTTAATCGAAAAGTAAGGTTAACATACATAATGCAAAGTAGACGCAATCAGTAATTTGTTTTATGAACTTAATCTTCACTTTCAGTATGAATATCAAAAGTGAAAAGTTGAAATTTGATTCCAAGTTAATCCTTATAGGCATTGATGTTATTTACTAGAAAAAATTTCAAACTGAATAGAAGTTTTATGAATATATTCTTGACTTAGCATCTTTTTGATGGACTGATAATCGATTCAACTTTGACATATGTAAAAGTATCAAAATACTGGCAAAATGAGGAGAAAATAAATTCCGTAGTATAAAATGTTTCACTGTGACAACTTGTTCGAAATGAAGCTTCTTTATGAAGTAGGTCAGTATTTAGATTATTTAGAAAAAAGACTGATTAAGAGAAGAAACATATTTTTTTTCAATAAAGTCTTCATCTTGAGCTCTACACTAATATACGGTTTCACAATCTAATCAAATTACCATTCATGTTTTAGAAATAATGATGTAAAGATGAATAGCAATGATGGGTAGTGGCTAGTAGTGGAATCCAGGATGCGCATTTCGTCCTATTTGGGACTCGTCAGTGAATGATGTTATTTCCACTGGAATTCAGACTCGGGAGCGATCGCTTCAAACGTGACAGCGTTATCCACTACACCACCGAGCCACGATAGCCACTTCTTGTGTGATGGGTATAGTCTTATGCCAACAGAGACTGATCAATTCGGTCCGCTCAACGACGGTGTAATACAAGCAATAACACTAGTAATGATGTAAATAGTCAATAGATTTATTAAATTATGATTTGACTACCTAAGATAGCCGTAGTTTGGGAGAGTAGTATTTGTACTGGGTGATTTTCATCTCACCTTCAGTCATCACCCAGTACAAATAGATTTATTAAAACTGGAAATATGAAGCAGGTTAGTTAAATCAAGTGACTTTTGATGAGTGTTCAGTAATTCACCATAAGCGATTACGTAAAAATAGGAAACCAAATGAATATTGATAGAAACAAGGGGAAGGGGAAGAGGTGTACAAAGTAAACCTAGAAGTAACATCATGTTGACGGCCACGGTAATGAAAGTGGTTGAACAAACTTCTTTTGGATACAAAGGCTAAGTTTGTGAAGGTGGATTGCAATCGCCTCTACTATGTGAAGTAACCGAGTGCGTAATCCATGAGGTAAATTAATTGGAATCTGATGGATGATTTTGAAGACTTTTCCAGTAACCCCTTGATGTCCTGTGTGAACTAAGTGTGCAAGTATGGAGCTCTTTATAGTTGTAATTTGTGCCTTGTTCAACCATGATTGGTGGTGCTCAGAAATTCGACGATGGGACTGCCTCATTGTACACCCAATGTAACTCACCCCACAAGAGCAGTTGAATTGATAAATGCACATAGAAGTGGCAGAATCAGGCAGTTTGTCTTTATTTCTTGCACGTAGAATGGGGCGGTTGTAGAAGGCGGAACATAATTTAGCGGCTGGGAATGCTTTATGCAAGACTCTTTTTATGCGTTGTGTGATGATCTCACTGGCAATGTCACTGTTAAATTGCAGCTTCAAGAAGATTTGCTTCTTAGGAGCTGTTGGCATTGTTGTCTTAACCCCCGTAATATTCACATGTTTAGTTGAAAACTTGTCTGGGTAGCCATTCCTACTAAGCAGATCACGGATGGTGGCGCACTCTTCTTTTATAGCATCCCGTGAGCAAGTAGCTGATGCACGGTATGCTAAGCATTTCACTAGGTTCCTTTTGTATTGGAGGGGTATGGCACTAAATAGGTGCGTGTGTTGACCTGTTGATGTTAGCTTTCTATAAACACTTTGTTTCAGGGTTCCATCTAACCTTCCTACCAACAGAACATCAAGAAATGGGATACTGTCAATTTTTTCCTCTTCCATTGTGAAGTTGATTACCGGGTGAACATTATTGAACTTATTCAGAACAGCATTCTTATCAGTCTCACTTTTGATAACTATAAAGGTATCATCCATGTAATTATCATATAACTTTAAACAGCTAATAGTATCGTTCAGTGGATCATTCTCTAATTTTCCCAGAAAAAAGCTGCTAAGAGCCGGCCAAGGGGTGACCCCATAGCAACACCATCAGATTGCCGGTAGAGTTCATTGTTGAAAAGGAACTGTGCGTTCACTGTACACCTAAGAAGTAGTTCTTTGAATGTGGAGACCGGAATGCCTATTTCCATGCAGTGCTTCGTGGGTTCGTTGCAAATAAAGTCTACTGTCTCCATTAAAGGAACGTTAGTAAAAAGAGATGAAACATCACGCGATATCATTAATTTGTTATCTACTTTCAGATCCTCAATCTTTCCAACAAATTCAAAGGTATCTTTGAGACTGTACTTCACAACTTCTTTATGAAGAGGCTTCAAGAGATGTACTAACCATTTTGCTGTTGTATGATACGGAGAGTTTATCATATAGAGAACTGGTCCGAGAGGCAGACCATTTTTATGCAGTTTTGGTTGACCGTAAAGTTTAGGTGTAACGGTTCCAGTAGTTTTGAGCATTTCGAAGGTGCTTTCTGAAATGAAACCCTGTTGTTTTATTTTTTTCAGTGATTCGGTTAGATGTTTCTCGATTTTCTCTGTTGTATTATCATTAGCGACTAATTTTTGAAATTTACTTCCATTACTAAGTAAAGAACTCATTTTGTCTATGTACTCTTTTTTATCCATTAAAACAATTCCTGATCCTTTATCTGGCTTGACAATCACGATATTTGCATTAGTTTTAAGCTTTTTCAAGGCTTCTCTATGTTTTTTTGTTAAAATACTCTTCATACTGTTCGTACTACTTGTGTGCTTTAGGCAGGAGTCAATGAGTGTAGTTTCAAGTCCATCAACATCTTCACTAGATGATGATACCAAACCTTTTGTCTGTGTATACATGTTCTCAAACTGCATTTCCGTTTCCTAAAAGAAGTTTGTTCAACCACTTTCATTACCATGGTCGTCAACATGATGTAACTTCTAGGTTTATTTTGTGCACTTCTTCCCCTTCTTGTTTCTATCAATATTCATATTTCCAATTTTAGTAACTCTATTGATTATTTACATCAATGCTTCCGAAACATCATCATGTGATTGACAAATCTGATTAGATTGTAAAACTATATATTAGTGTAGAGCCTAATCTGAAGACCTAATTGAAAAAGAATATATTTCTTCTCTCAATCATTCTTTTTTGCTAAATTGTATTCCAAGGGGGTTGTGGGGATTTAGAAATATTTTCAAGTTGCTATTCATTGTAGACTGACATCAGTTGGAGGGACAATGGAGACCTGGGAGCACTGGATAGCTGTTTCGTCCTAGTATGAGACTCCTCAACAGTGCGCACCTACGACTTTCAGGTTCCGTGGCCAGCACGTTACCACTAAGCCATTGGGTCGGAATCCAACATTCCATATTTCCAGGTTTCCATTGTTCCTCCAACTGATTTAAGTCTACGATGAATACTAACTTAAAAATATTTTTTCGAAATGTCTAAATGGGAATATTCAATGTATTTAGATTATTTCTATCAGTATGTCGTGTTTCCACTTTCATAAAGTCAGATTACTTTGCTTTTCGACTGTAGGTAAGAAAGTTCTAAAGATTTCAGGTTTGAATATACTATAACCTATACTTACTAACAACTTGAGGCTACAGTTCGTCGACTCATACGTAATTGGAGTGAGTATATTATCTTGTGTCTCAGTGACATAACTGTTGTTACATGGATTACATGGATTTGACAGACTCAGAGGTAATTCATAAACTCTTCGTACGTGTAGAATACCCATGAGTAAGAGGCCAGAAAAAAAACATAATACAGTAGCCAGGTAAAAATAGTATATCTGGTAGATGGTACCGAAATACTGATGCGTTGCAAGTGGCAGTTGGTGAATCGTGTACCAGCAAGGCTATGTAACATGATAATATGCCAAATGGCGTGAATGGTTGACCGTGCACCTTCAACTTAATCAGTCCATTAGAACTATAAAGGTCAGTATCAATACTGAATCTCGTCGAACCCTTGGCTATTGATTTTGAGTAATTATTTGAGGCTACAAGACTGGTTTTCTCTAACATCTTGATCTATCTGGTATTTACTAGAGCTCCTGACTTCTGTGTATTCTCTTGCTTATTTGCTTTTAAAGCTATAACTTTTAATCAATGTAAGCAGTATCTTGAACTTGGTAAAATAAAATATCTGGATAAACATTTGGCTAATTGACAAACGTGAAATAATTCGAAAACGTGATTATTGTATGCAGATAGTACGCAATTTGTAATACTACGAGGAAGAAAATGTCAATTCACTAGCTTTCATAATACAATCACTTAGTGAAACAGGTTACCTGAGCAAAACAAGCTTGTGTTGCATACTGGATGAAAGTAATAACCTGATTGACGAGGATCCAACTGGCATAAATGAATCTAACTAATATACTGTTAATAAACACATATTATTATTATTTTTTCCTCTTGAGTTCCTAGTGAAACATAGGGCTTCAGTAGCACATCTCCATTGCACTCTGTTCTCTGAAGTCTGCTCACTCTGGCTCCATGATTGCCTGCAAGCTTTCATTTCTTCCTCACATGGTCTCCTCAACGTCACTCTCGCCTCGGACACACAACTCATCGTTTCCCATTTGGATTCCACTCGACAGCCTCGTCTTGTGCGTGATATCCCCAATCAGTATTTTCAGTGTATGCCCAATCCATCTCCACTTCCTTCTGCATATATGTTGGGTAATAGGTTCTTGGTCGGTTCGTTCCCAGAGTTCCTTGTTGCTTATTCCTATTATTTCTGGCCATCTCATCTTCAGTATCCAGTGAGACGGCGTAGGTGGCACCTGTTGATGAATGTCTGTAGTTTGTTGCAAGTGCTTTTCGTGATGCGCCAACTTTCTGAACCATCACATAGAAGCACTCAGTTGCTTGACTGAATTGGTGTTAAAAATCCTGATCTTGTTTATGCTTTATACTGAGTGAAGTGCAGTAGATCTCCACACTGATTTCAGTCTAATGAAAGCCTGTCTTTCCGATCCTGGCTGCTTTGATATCCTCGTCTGTGTCTTCTGTAGTTGAAACAATGCTGCTTGGATGGGTGTAGGTGAAAGGGACTACTTCCTTTAAGTTTCTCTCGTTGATGGTGATTGGTGCTTGTTGTTGTTGGTTGGGTATCTTCATCTCCTTCGTCATCTCTACTTTCAATTAATAAGTATAACAAGTAGTTAATAATCCATCATCGTCATAGTCTACTTGGATATTGTTTTATTGTTCCTGAAGCGCATATGTCGTTCAACCGTATACTACCATTCCCAGTTAGTGTATTTTTTGAAATCATTGTCTAGACACTGCTTTAAAAATTTGAAATCAACTGTAAGTTTCAATTTTTTCAGTTCCCATCACATATAAGCAAGGTATACCTAGAGCGTTAAATTAATTCATATCCTATCAAAAAAGCTTACTCTAGAAGTTTAAAACAGTTACCAAATACATTAGATTTGAACAATATGAAGTTATGTCTGTCATAGTACTTCTTAATGAATGTCCTTAGAAGTTTTTCTCTTTTAAGAAGAACCTGCTGTTCACGTGATTTATTTGATTAATTTCCTTTATTTAACTGAAAAAAATATTCAAGAAATATATTTCAAAAAGAATAAAATCCTCAGTGTACATTATTATATAGTGCTTATTGGTGACGTTCTCCTAAGTTCTAGTGAGAAGCCGTGACCTGTGGAGTCAACCAGTCGGAAGGGAAGCGGATGTCAACTGAAGAAGTTGGGTGATAATCGTGCTATATCGCTAATCGACAGAAGTTGGAAACTGTGGACTACCAAACTCCAACACTAACGAGTTTATTGGTGCCTACTGGTGAGAACTTCCGTACTGGACTGAAACAACTGTCCAGTGCCCCCCAACCCTGGGTTTTCATTGGTCCTCCATATAGTGATGAATACTACCGTAAAAATATATTAAACCTTTTACGTACTTAATATTTAGTGAAGGCTACAAGATATATCACTATTCACCAGTCATAATCAAGAGGTTGACAGAGTTTTATTATAGGTAAGGCCATAATCGAAATATCCTCAGCAATAATGTGCATATTCACGCATTAAGCAGTCAGTTACACGGACTGTGTGTGGGTAAATGACGCTACCTGGCCGTCTAGACTTCGATAGGCCGGAAATTGAGTGCATAGACTAATCATCCACTGAATCATCTTGAATAAGTTCACAAGAAAGGATTTCATATAACAGGAAATTAACTCAGTGTTATCTTCTTTATGCACCCTGGATGAATAATTACTGAAAATTCTTATTTGCTTTGTCTTACATTCAGTCTGTTAAAAAGTGTGCATCTATGTGGTTCAGAAATATGATGTTGAATTCACTGTATTATTTTAATTGCAACTTTTCAAACGCGATCATGCTAGTCAGTTTTCGTTTGCATCCTCCTAAACTGTTTATTAGAAATATCACAGTGAAACAGTAGTATTCACTGGATAACGTTTCGGATACAATTTATTGTCCATATTCATATCACGTAACTCTACAACTTCGAGACAGAATTTATATAGTCCTAAGTTTCTCTCCTTCTCTCTGATGACAAGGGTAGTAGAATTTTTCATATATCTGGGATAGTTGCAGAATCATTTCTGTCACTGCATGTATTTGGTGTTGATTCGATAAACAAAGATTCGGTTATCAATCTGTCCCTTCATACAACTAAGTTAACTTTCAATACTGTCCCACTCTACTGTGTGATTGTGTGTCATCGTATGCAGAGTTATAGCCGAGCTTTTCTCTAAATTTCTTATCTTAGTAGGATCTACTAATCTTGATTTAGCTAAATTTTTCTGCTCTGTTATTCTAATCGACCCTGGTCGACTACTTTGACCTATGTACTTGACCTCACCATCATTGCAAGGGATCTGGTAAACCAGATTATTTTGCTTAATTGCATCGATAGGATCTTTTAACCTACTAAGCTTGTTTTTAATCGAGTTTGTTGGTTTAAATGCCACTTTAATCTCAGCCTTATCGAGAACTCTTCGTAATGTTTCTGAGGTGTCTTCCTTGTATGGTAACACAGCAGAGGCTTTGCATTCTCTCTTAATCCTGTCGCCATTATTACCATTAGTAGTGGGATTATTGCTAATAACATGTATTATTACTACTACCACTGCTACTTTTTTTCCTTTCGATTTCTTATGAATTTATTCATAAATTTTGTTGGGTAATTGTTGAGACGTAGGGTATTCTTGATATGTCCAATTTCTTGTCGCAGATTTTCCGATCTACTAGTAAGCTTTTTCGCTCTATCGCTTAAGCATTTAACTGGGCCTACTTTAACTTAAATAGGGTAGAAGGATTCGAAGTCTTAGTAACGACTCGAATCGGTAGGTTTCCTATAAACACTAGTCTCTAAACTTCCGCCTTGTGTTCCTT